CACACATACTGTACAAACACATATGTGCTCCCCTGACACCCAACGTGTGCATCTTCCACAACACACTCACAGCTGAGCAAGGGGGGGGGGGGCGGCGGCGGCGGCATAGAGGGGCTTATGGAAGGAGAGAGGAAAGGAGCTGACTCTCCTCTGGGAGATGGAGGGATGGATAAATGAAAGAAGGCGAGCTTTAATAAGATAGGGCAGAGAGGTCACTAAGGAGGGAAACAAAAAGACAGAGGGAGGTAAAGAAGGAGAGGATGAGTGCCACCAGAGATGAGGGGGGGGGGGAGGGCGGAAAGGTCTCGGCTCCCTGAGAAAAAGCTGAGGGATGGAGCTGAGTGAATAGAGGAGGAAGTAAAAGCTCTGGTGGGCACAGAGGAAGGGAGATGGCTGCCATGAATAAATGATAAAGTAGATGTACTCTGAATACACACACACACACAGTCAGATATTGTTCACACACAAAACATGTATATAAGATAAGTGGTGCATCTGTCCCACATTCGCTCAATTATAGTCTATCTTGTTTTAGAGTGGAGGACTTTCCTTTTCAGATCACTCTTTACCCACACACTTCACTAGGTTTCAACCTCCCCTTCTCTCAGTCCTCTCTAACTACCTCTCTCAGCCCATATCTACTGTACCTCTCACTCACTATTGTTCATGGGATTATGGCACACTGGGAAAAGCTGCTGCTCTTAATTCGGTCTGCAAGCTGTCATCTTCAGCATCTTTGCAACTGTGTGCGTGACTGTGTGTTCTTGTTGTTTCTATGCTTGTGAGATGTATTTTTAAACCCTAACTTTTGTGGTTCAAGCGAGGGTGACTGTTCACTGCTCACATATAGGACAGGTTCAGGATGTATGGCTGTGTTATATACCTTGTGTTATGTCTCTTACTCATTATGTTTGAGTAAATGAAAGTCACAGAATACCTTTTAGGTGTAAGGTGTCTCTGTGTGTTTGTGTTTGAGCTGTTTAAGCTCTGAGAGGAAAACAGAGGGCCTGTCAAAAGTTCCTCTCCCCCCTGTCTCTCATCATACACATTAATTAGGACTGACAATGGCAAAACATCTTCAGGCAGCCAGCCCACATCAAAACCACTTTTTTCAATTCATTAGGACAGAAGTTTCAGTCCCACGCGTAATTCATCCTTTGCTTGTGTGTCTCCCTTTCCCTATCTCACCATCCTCTCTACCCAGAATCCTCTCTGAGGCTATGATAAGGCCATCCAATCAAACAAATGGAGCTGCAGACTTTTGCGTTTGGCACAATCGGCTACTGAAAATGTTTTCTGCATATATAATGTGTGTAATTTTTTTTTATGGGAACTTTAAAGGAGAAGAAAAATGATTACAGAGCAGAATCTTCATATCTGTCCAAGTCATTATCATTTTTTCTTAACATCTTCAACAAGTGTGTCCATTTCTTTGTTTGTTGGTATGAGTGTGTGTGCATGCAAGTACGCATATGAGATGCATGCACAAACGCATCCAACAATAGCGGATTCCCTTTTTTGTTGGATTAATTAGCATGTGTGTATACATGATTATATTTGCATGTGTGCAGGAAAAACAAAGGGAAAGTGGAGCAGGAAAGAAAATCTCTGAAACTGAGGAGAGAGAGAAGAAGGATGATAATGATGTGAGGAGAAGAAGAAAGACACTCTTGAGATCAGCATAGCCTCAGGCCCTTAAAAATCATCCACAAGTGTCTGGAGATCTAAATTCAGGGCCTTGAAAGTATTTTAATGTCTTAATTACTGTTATTAAATGTTCTTTCGTGTTACTAATGACAGGTTTCCTCCGCTGCATGTTCACTCTCATATTACACACTCGGTTTATTTGTCAAAAAAATAATTTCCTACACTGTTAATCTATGCAGCATATTCAGAGCTTTTGATAGAATTATTTTGGGGGGAGCTTTTTCCTCTGTCTTTTTTTGGAGAGCAGACTAATTTATGAATTCTCAGAATAATGCCTTTTGTGCAATTTTGTTTTCCTGTTTGAATTAGTATTTTGCTACTGAAAATATGGTCTCTTCATAAAACTGGGCTCTCAGTGCAGTAGAAAGATGCAAATACTTTTGAAATGCTGGTGCTACATGACAAGAGAAAACAGAGAGCATGGCATTTGCTTTTGCTGAAGAGGTTGAAAACTTAAAACTACCAGAATGTACTGCACCACACTGAACCAATAAACACTCCTACCGGTCCCTAAAAACACCCATGGTTTGTGGTTTGTAGGATATAGCAGGGCCTGCTTCCACAAGCTTCTTGATCCTATTTCTAAAGCTTGTAAATTTAGGAAAACTAGACTGAATAATAAATGCAACAAGGATCAGGAAAACAGTGGATTGCCCCCTCCGGGTTGGGAGTGGGTTACTGCCCCAAGCAAGGGAGTGTGTATTGAGGTCTTGTTCATGAGTGAGGGTAGGATGGATTGTGAGATGGATTGGCATTTGATGCAGCATCTGCAGTGATACGGGCGTTGTGCTGGACTATTGTGGTGAAGAGAAAGCTGAGCCAGAAGGCAAAGCTTTTAATTTACTGGTCTATCTACGTCCCAACCCTCACCTATGGTCATGAGCTCTGGGTAGTGACCGAAAGAATCACTTCGCGGATAAAAGCGGCTGAAATAAATTGCCTCAGAAGGGTGGCTGGGCTCAGCCTTAGAGATAGGATAATGAGCTCGGACATCAGGAGGGAGCTCTGAGTACAGGTATCTGATTAAGATGCCTCCTGGGCACCTCCCATTGGAGGTGTTCCGGACATGTCGCACTGGTAGGAGGCCCCGGGGCAGACCCAGAACATGCTGGAGGGATTACATATCTCGTCTGGCCTGGGAGCACCTTGGGGTCCCCCAGGAGGAGCTGGAAAGCGTTGCCGGAGAGAGGGATGTCTGGAATGCTTTGCTTGGCCTGCTGCCCCTGCGACCCAGCCTTGGATATCAATTGAAAATGGATGGATGGATGGATGGATGGACGAACAAGTATAAAGGCATAAAGAATGCATTATTCATATTTTCAATAATTTGTATATTTGGTCTCACACCTATTTCGGCTACATGGAAACTAATCGTCTGCCTTGTAACCCCGTCTGGGCAAGTCATCTGTGTTGTTGATGCAAGATACTACACTGACATCAGAATACAGATTAGGTGTATGGTTTCCTGTAGGTTTAATCTTGGGATTAAGGCAAACATTAGGTTAATCAACAACTTTTTAGGTTTTGTTTTTTCTAATTTGACAAGTGATGAGAAGACCAACAATCCAATGCAAGGTGACAAGACTGCATAAGTCAATACTCAATATAAGTCAGATAACTCACTGTGACGCAAGATGTAAGGCCTAGTCCCTGTTGTTTTTTGGTGGGTGATGTATGTTTCTCCATTTAATCTCAGTTTTTCTTTTAGCCTCTGTTTTTACAGTACAGGAGACAGTATGGTGCCAACGTCCTGTACAGAAAGCTAAACAATGCGTTAAAATATTTTTTGAAAACATTCATTGAATACAACAAGAAATACACAATACTGCAACAGCAACTTGGTTTATGTTTGATCAGCACTGCCTGCTTTGCCATTTGATCAGAGTTCGGTCTGAGTTTTAGACCAAGAAGGGTCTCTCTCTGAATCTGCTTCTGTACTCTTTGTGTCACTGGTGGCAAAACAAAAATGAGAACTTACAATCTAGTTCAAGCAACAGCCCGAAAGCCAGCAAAATTGCATCATCTGGCAAGTTTTTGTTGGCAGATCTGGGTGCTGGCAAGATGAAGGAAAGTTTACCACAGTTCTTTTACACATACAACTCACATTGTTATGGTACAAAGCTGGTTGAAATCAGACAAGTATCCCTTTAATTTAATGGTTGTGTAATGCAAGTTTTAAGGCTTTCATCTTCATGTTTATGTGCATGCATATGACTCAGTGTAAAGTAGGAGGAAGATATGTGTATGTTTATTTCATCTGTGTGGTGGATGAGTATGTTGTCACGTGCTAGTCCTTTCCCCTCGGTGTTCATTACAACTTACTTGGCTAAGCATCCTGCTGTGTTAATTAAGATCAAGGGGAGGAGAGAATGGGATGAAGAGGAAGAGGAAGAGGGAGTTGGAAAAAGAGATGGAGCGATTAAACGGCAGAGTTGTAGAAAGTGAAAGTACGGGAGGAATGCAGATGCGGCGCTGCTGGGAGGCAAATGTCTTTGTGAGTTATTGAGAACTGGAGAGAGAAAGGCCCTGTAAAATGTGTCTTTATCTCTTACGGGCTGCAAGGGAGATTTATATACATGTGATTGAAAACAAACACAATTAGCTCCAAGCATAGCTTTGATCTGATACATACACACGCAAAAAACTTTTGGACTAAAAGGAGCTTTTGATGCCAGATTATTCCACTTACAGCAAGTACATATTTGTTCTTCTCTGTTCCATTTGTTTTGTTTGCTCTCCATGAGGCTACTTTATTTGTGGAAAACCCACAGGTTGACTTCTTGCGCAGGGTCTTGGCAGTTGGGTGGGAGCAGGGCACAGGTGATTATAGCGTCGGCATGTGACAGATGAAATGAGGTAAGGATGTACAGAGGAAACCAGTTTGATTGAAATTTGGAGATGAAAGAAAGAGCTTTAGCAGGCATGGGATGAAAAATATGGAATGATTTACATAATGAAAAGATGAGAATGAGAGAGGGATGGGGTGGAGGTGATGGGAGAATTAAACTACAGTATGTGGTATCAGATTGTGAGTGCGCCGCTCTGTAAGTTGCAGAGGATCTAAGAATGCAATTACTTATTTAGGTCACACACACGAGGGACGACTGGAGCAGGAAAGACGCATTATTTAGGTGCTGAATTAATTTGCTTGTTTGCACAGAACATTCTTTTATGTGTAAATATCATTCCTGGAGAGAGTGTCCTTGTCTAATCTCTATAATACAGCACGTATTAATTTCAATATTGATGAGGGGGGATCATTCATAGTCTTGCATTTTTCACATAATAGGGATATATTGTGTGAGTAGTGCAATTATCAGAGCAGGAGAAAAGGGCAGAGACAGCAGGATACCAGGAAGAAAGGATATGAAAAATAAAAAAGAAAGAAGTGATAAAATGTGGAAAAGCTGAGAGAAAAACAACGTGAAATGGAACATTTTCAAGGCTACAAAAGGCATGCCGCTTTTCTCAGAGAAGTTTCAGGGCTGTTTATTACGCTGCAGGAAAGAATGAGTTGTCATTGTTGGGTTATGTAATGCAGTAAGCTCATTATGTTGATCAGGTTACCTGTAGATGATGCATGCTGTCTTTTGGCAGGTGGGGCAGTTGTTTATGTCCTGACCAGTTCTGTATGAGCTGCGACTGCAGAAACAACAGATGCAAAACGTTCACACACACTCGCAGGAGTTTAATTGAACATAATTGATACTTATAAAATGTTATTTCAGTCATGTTCAGTGAAGAATTATTACCTTTGATAAACTGATTCAATAAATATAATGTATAAATATCAGCTTTGGCATAAGTCACTGAAATATAAAGTCTTTTTGGACTAAGAAAGAAATGGCCTTGCTTTTCTTTCCCAGAAAGAGTCTCTTGATTAACGTTATCACAGTTTTTATTGGTCTCTTCACCTACACATACTCAGTGCACAACACAGTTGCTAGAAGAAATAGTCGCATTAAACATTTCTGCAAACCACAGATGTGTTATATTTGTACATTGTTTTGCAGCAGATGTTTCTCAGTAATGCTGTGGTGAAGGTGTAGTTGGTTTGGCCCAAAAAAGCACTTAGTTATGGTCAGGAAAAGATCATTTTTGGCTAAAAATACCTATGTTTTGTGGCTCAAACACCACTGGGAAACACTGAGATTTGTCAGTGAAAAACACCCGCATTTGGTGCTTCAGATGCTGCTGGGAAATGCTGCGATGTGTTTGAGAAAAACACCCAGGTTCTATGGCTCAAATACTGGAAATGCCACAGTGTGTTGATGAAAACACCCAGATTCCATGGCTCAAACGCCACTGGGAAACCCTGCAATGTGGCACTGAAAAACACCCACATTTGGTGGTTCAAATCTGCTGGGAAACGCTGCGATGTGTTTGAGAAAAACACTCAGATTCCATTGCTCAAACCCTGGAAATGCTGCATTGTGTCGATGACCTTTGGTAGCTCAAATGCTGCGAGGAAATACCGGAATGTGATGATGAAAAACACCCAGTTTCGATCGCTCAAAGGCCACTGGGCAACACTGCAATATAGCACTGAAAAACACCTGCATTCGGTTGTTCAAATCTGCTGGGAAATGCTGGCTCAAACCCTGGAAATGCTGCATTGTGTTGATACAAAAAAACACCCAGGTTTGGTAGCTCAAATGCTGCTAGGAAATGCCGGAATGTGATGATGAAAAACACCCAGGTTCCGTGGCTAAAACACCACTGGGAAATGCCTTAATGTGTCGTTAAAACCATTCAGGTTTGGTGCCGCGACCACTGATGGAAATGCCACTCAGCAGAGCCAAAATACAGCTGTAGTTGTTTGTTGGACTCAAACAGTGGTCTGCAGCTTGGTAGGCATTTTACCGAGGTGACATGCCATCCACCATCCCCTCCTCCTCCTGATGACAGACAGCTTGTGTATTTCATCACTTTAGAAACAATGATATGATACGTATGAAACGTGCAAATGTAACATATTTGTGGTTTGCAACGATGACACTGAACATTTTCATCCGGCGGCTGAGCTGGAGTGCAGCAGCATCAGGTGTACTCTCAGGGGGCTGTCAAAGGGCACAAAATAGCTTGTGATGTTTAGTGCATACGATGTGCCCCACCAGGAGAATTCAGGACATCACCTGAATACTTCTGATGGTTCGCCTGTTTGGCATTCCAGGCAGGTAGAAAATAAACAGCAAGCATTGTGTGCAGTGACTGTGTAGGTAGGCTTAGTACGGAGCCAGACATTACATGACACCAATATCATAAGTGCAGTGTTGAGTGAAAATCATCTTGTTGTCTTTCACACTAGAAAATAGTTGTCTGTAAATTGGTTTGCGTTTATAAAAAAAAACCATGATTACACATGCAAGCCGTGTTATCAAGGTTGAACAAGACTACAGAGCAAAAGACTTGTTGGGAAATAAAGTCAGATAGAAAGATCTGACAAGCTCATGCTGACTGCCATTTAATTAAATCGCTTTATTTTGCCAAGATATTTTGGCTGCCCCTTTACTGAACTGTGTAGATGGGGGAGTAGCTGATTTATGTTGATAAAATAGACATTTTAATTACATGGAGAGAGGCCGTGTGACTGGCATCATTTTTTCTCCCCGACCAGTCTTTATCAAAGACAAACAACAGCAAGAGAAGACAAGCATTTGCTCCGGGAGAGAAAAGAAAACAAGGAGCTGAGCACAGCGACAACCTCTTAGCACAGCCGACACTTTTATCACCACGGCCCACTTAAAGTGCTTTCGTTTCTGGCACAGCATCAGATACATGTGGACCCTCTCACTGGCTGGTTCTCTTGCTTTTCTCACTCTTTTTTATGTCTTTTTCCTCTCTCAATTGTGCTCACCCTTTCTCTTCTGTCTCCCTCTTTACCCTTTTTTTCCATTCATTTAGCTGGAGCATCCTCACGACAAGCACACACACATTGAAAACTATGAATGCATAATTATATACAGTCACACTCACAGGGCAGGACAGCGTGTACACTGAGTTTCGGAGCCTTACTGTGCAGCTTAAACATTAACTGCATTTCTCAGATGTAATCTGATAGGGATTAGTCTGGAGCTAGAGACATCTGTTAACCCTCACCAAAAAGACGGAGGGATAGAGGGTAAAAACAGAACATGAAAACAAGTAAAAAAAGAAGTTAAGGTGGAGAAAGAAAGATTATCATAGAGACGATGAGGCGAAAAGGGCAGGACATTGGTTGTTTGGGAGGAGAAGTAAAACTGAAGGGCATAAGGTATTTGGTAGGAGTGGTAGAAAGAGGGTTGAAAGTTAGGATGGGAGAAGGGCATATAATATAAACTACAGGAGGAGAATTACTGACAGTAAAGGTGAAATGGGTGAGGAGGAAGAGGATGCAAAGAATAGAGATGCGATAGAGAAACAAAACAGACTGACAGCTGACACATGACAGCCGGCGAGGGTGATGGACAGCTTGTCGGGGCAGGGAGAGGGGGGAGATCACAAAATGGTGAGAGGGCAACGGAGTGATTCACAGTTGTTAGTTGCAGGCATGATTCATATGTTGGAGGTGCAGAAAGAAAGACGGATGAGGTGAGAGAAAAGGGTATTCATTAAGGGTGGAAGAAAGAGAGGTGCAAGGGTGAAGGTAAAGAGAGGGATAATAGCTTGAGGCAGGTTAAAGAGCGACGGAGAAAGGGGGAAGGGCATTGATTAAAGTGAAGTGAGTACTTAGATTTATGAAGGTGGGGGGGGAACAAAGCATATGGAGCGGGAGAGGAGGATTCAAGAATGGAAAAATGAGCAGAAGAGAAAGAAAGAACAAATTAGTTTGCCTTGGTGGGTAATATGATGTCTCTTGGGGACACTGTTACTGTGGGGACAGGTATGTAAGATGAAGGGACAGAGGGAGGATCTACTGATATTGAATACAGGCTGCCAGGTATTGTACATCCCTGCAGGATTGGATCACAAACACACACACATACACACACACTGCAGCAACTCTCCACTGGCCTGACATTTAAAATCTATTACACGGACTTGAAAGCCTGTCGGTATATATTGCTGTAAAAACTCAAATATACTCTCTTCTCAGTCTTGTGCACTCCCTTGACACCCTCCCCTCTTCTTCTCTTTCTTCTCTTTATCACTCTATATCACTCTCTTACTGAATGGGATAGTTTGGCTTTTTGAAGTGGGGTTGTATGAGATACTTATCCACAGTCAGTGTATTAACTACAGTAGATGGCTGTCGCATGCCTCCAGCTTGGAGAAACAGGCACAAGTACCAACACAGAAGCTAAACAATGCACTGCTGTGGATGGGGGCAGCAGCAAAAGTATATTTTAGCAACCCAAAAATTCAATATCAGTTTAAGTATTTGCTTTATTGAGAGTATTTTCACTGCTTTATCTTGACTTTATTACGCTGCAGATCAGCTGTAGGGGCCAGACTTTCAGGGGTTTATGGAAGAGTCAACAAATACAAAAAACTGAGTGATTGCAACAGTGACGAAGAAATGCCATTCACAGTGGAAATGAGGATATCTTTGCCAATCAGAGTTAGAAGAAGAACTTTTGTAGAGGGAGACTGAACTGGCCAAAAGAGTGAGCACCACAGGAATACGGAAGTTCTATGGTTGAGAAAATGTAATGCCAAAGTAAAGGGCTGCCTGACAGCAAGGTAAAACGGTAAAAAAAAATCTCAATATAGTGTCCACTTTAAATGACACTGATTCTTTCATGCCTCCGCACCAATGATAGTGGTGGCCAGAGGCATTATGTTTTCAAGAACACCTGGTGGAAATCTATAAATTATTAAATATCTATAAATTTAGCACCAACATCCACCTGGACTCAATCATGAACTGATTAGAATTTGGTGATCAAAGTTCAAGGTCACTGTGACCTCAAAAAACATGTTTTTGGCCGTAACTCAAGGATTCATAAGCTCATTATGACAAAAAAAAAAAAAAAAAAAAATCAGAATATCTCAGGAACACAAAGGGGAGACAATCGGTCAAATACTGAATTGGTGACACTCATCTTGGGTGGGGAAGATGTGTGTGAAGCATTCATGTTTTAGAATGTGTAGCATCTTTGCAGCAAAATCCATTTTTAACGCATTGTTAGCTGTCATTGCTACATGTGAGTCTGGACAATCATCGATTCAAACTGTTTTTTACATAGCTTAAATATGTTTTGGTACTAACTCCCATCCACAGCAGTACATTTCTGCATTTGATTTTGCCAAAAGGACATGCTCCTGGATCAACAACCCACATCGCATTCCAGGACCAACATTGCATTCAACCAGTCACAGCCCTCTGACTCCTTTGTGCTTCTTCAGAGCTAAGCTAGATTTACAAATTCAAGTTAGCACAATTGAACAATTATGTTCAATTTTGTTCAATTTTCCGAAATTCATTTTGAAAGCTTAGCTCTGAAGAAGCACAAAGGAATTTTGAAAGAAGCACAGAAGCAGCACACTGATGATGTCAGAGGCCTGTGATTGGTTGATTGCAGTGTTGGCTTCAGGAACATGATGTGGGATGTTGATCCAGATGCATGTCCTAAATCACATTGTGAGTACATTTTGAGCCCCTGTGGTGGTACTCCTGCATGCTTCTCCAAACTGGGAGCATGCCGACTGACATCTAGGTATTGCACAGATTATGGATATGTACCTCATACAACCCAACCTCAAAAAATCCGCACAATTCCTTTAAGCCCTTGCTAATGCAATGAATATCTCTACCTCTCCTTCATAACTTCGTCTTGGTGTCTAACCTTCTTGTTTTCTCTTTTCTTCCACAACATCCTCCATTACTTCTTCTTGTGTCCTTTCATCCCCTCTATCTCCCCTTCTCTCTCCCATTTTGTCCCCCATTAACTCCCTTCTCTCACCCTTCGCTGAGGGCCTTGCTCTTCTCCAGGTCTTGAATGACATTGAGGAGCACCTTGATCTTCTCCTGATTGGACTGGAGGTTCTCCTCCACACTCTGCAACTGCCTCTCCAGCCCTCGTGGTGCATTCCCTATGGGTGCACCCAGCAACCCTCCTGGGGCCCCATTACATTGTGCTTTCATATGCGTCTTACAAGGCAGAGTGTGGTCATCGAATGATTTACTCTTCTGTTTTGCGTAGTCCTTGAGTCTGATCCGGCCTGTTTGTTTGGGAGCGTTAGTGGTCTCCTGGGTGTTTTTGGTTTGCGCTGCAGGTGTGGCCGGTTTGGTACAAGTGGGTGTGGTAGAGTTTTTTGCTGGGAGAGGTGGAGTGTTGGTAGATTTTAAGTCACTGTGAACAGAAGGAGCTGGATGTTTGGAAGTGATACGGACTGATGAGTGTTCATCATTGTGCTGGATTTTAGCCAAGTCAGACTTTTGTTTTTCAGTCGGCTGTGGCTCTGCTGCTTCTGTGGATGGTGTGTGTGGCCGTGGTGTATGTGTGGTAGCTGTGGTTTTCTCTGTGTTGTTGTGCATGTGTATCTCTGTTGTTTGTGTGGCTGAGTCCTTGTAATGAGAAAAGTCTGCAGAATGTGGCCTTGTTTGCTGCTTTGACTCTCTTGTTTTGTTCTGTGTGTGTGACGTGTGGTTGGAATGTGAGCTGTGTGTTTTTGGTATAGTGTGTGACAGCTGTGGTATTTGAGAAGTCTTTGCCGATGTGTGTGCGGAGGTGTTTGCTGTCTCTGTGTTTTTGGGGTAAGACTGAGAGTCCAGAGCACATTCTTTTCTCGACTGAGCCACAGACGGTTTCCGTGGCGGATTAGGTAAAGTCTGGCTGGCTGTTATTTGATTGACAGCCCTCCTGCGACATGCTCCTGTGCATGGTGTAATCTGTGATCGCCTCCTCCCGCATGTCCCACACAGGCTGGGTGGGGAAGTCGCCATCACTCGGCAGGGCCGTGGTGGGGTAGCATGCACAGTTGTGCAAACACTCCCTGTCTTTAATACAGAGCGATGAGTCTCCCCACGCAGAGACTGCACCCTCCTCCTCTCTCCGGCTGGCTCCTTACCTTCTGTGGCCTCAGTGCAAACCCCCCCCACCACATCAGAGGCTACCACACTGCCATTTGTATACCGAGCTGTCCTTTTCTCCCTTGTGTCCTTTGGGTTTGTCCGTATAGTTTTGATTTGGCAGTAAACTCCGCTGCCTGACCCCTGTGACCCCATGTCGTCCTGTGTCAGGCTGTTGATCTCGTTCTGAGATGTCTCCTTGGACACAGGCAGACCGTTGCTGTCACTTCTGATAACTCCCCCTGTCTCCACTGTCGCTGTTTTGCCTGTTGCCATGGCGAGTGGCCGATGAGTGTTGGTTGGTTGGCTGCCGTGTCGTTTGATAGAGGGGAGAGTCCGCAGTCCGGGAGATGTTTGCACCCCGACACTGCACAGCGGGCCCCATCGCCCCCCTGCCAGGGGAACCCCCAGCGCAGGCACCGGATTGGTTGGGTCAGCCACCCTCCTGCCCATACTCCTCTGCAGATTGGCTCAGCCCCCTGAGGAGCTGAACGGGATGAAAGCAAGCGGTGACATCAGCCAACGTCAGCAGGATTATATCCAATAAAAAGTGAGAATGTTTCCAGCTTTTGTTTACCCAGATGAATTGATGTGTTTGTGAGAGAGTTTGTGTGTGAAAGCTGGAGACAGGAAGTCAATATCCAATAAGGCTTTAAACCCTCAATGTCCTTCCATTAATGACCTCCTTACTAGATGAGCTACTTCTGATTGGACAAAATTGTCTATGCTTTTCTCAGTCTCTAACCAATGGCCCGCAGATGATGAGTTGGATGGATTCTTTGGGCATCGTTGGTTTGTTCTGTAAGAGAGAAAAAGAGAGGCAATAAATGAGAGAAACATCCACAGAACGGAGGGAGACAGGGAATAAATGGTCAAATTGGCAAGAAGACACAGACATTAGGCACGTAAAGCACCATATAAAAGCTTCGACCTCAACTGAATGCACACACTGACCAGATCGATAGAACTCTATCAAGCCCTTATTAGACCAGCAGGTGGGTTGGAGTTACAGAGGCAAAACTAAATCTCATCAAGCTCTTCGTTTTGAGGGTACAGAAAAGACGAGGGATATCTTAAGGGTAGTAGCTTATACTGTATATCCATAAAGTTGCAAGTTCCACACAAACCCCCTGAGCTATGTCAATAAATCTTATAAATTTGGGACGACAGATGTTGTTGTAGTCGTTTTATTACATGATGACACAGCGTGACACGTTTCAAATGAGGTTATGCTTGCCTCCCGCAGCGGTATGTAAACCAATAATGCATCTTGCCTCGACATCTCTCATGGAAGCAGTTTGGAAGTCTGTCTAACGACTTCAGCATAATGTGAAGCTCTGCAACATTGTCTCTGTCCATCTTCCTGTTTTCCATTAAGGTAGACAGCATGTTGCCTAAAGTCAGTGTAGATATATCTTTTACTTATTTTTTGTTTGTTAGGCAGCAGAGTTTATTTTAATGCAGGCAGGTTATCTGGTTTCATTAAGCTTGGTCAGAATTGTGGGGTTATTTGCAGTGGTGGAATGCAGTTAAATCAACTCAGGTACTGTGTGTACATATTCACTGTACCTTACATGAGTCTTTTCTTTTCATGCCATTGTCTAGTTCTACTCCACTTCATATCAGAGCGACATATTTAGAGCTGTACCCAACTCAGATTTATGTCAGATGAATCAGATTTGGCTGCTCGATACAAATACTAAACAAATCACAGATTTTTTTTTTTTTTTTTTTTTTTTTTGACATATAGAGTTTGAGAGTTTGAATGGCAGGATGTTCAGGGTGACAGTGACATTCATGTAGTATAGTAAACAAGCCAATGTAGCCCTCAGAGCTAATGCCGGCTGAATACGCTAACAATGGATTGGAAATGTGCAACATTTTTTCCAACATTCAATACCAAACAAAAGCCAGAGAGTGTATTGTATTAAGTTGCTGTGAGCTGTCAGTTCACCACCTCTAAGCAGAAGGCCAAGGATAACATTATTTGCGAAGTCTCTCTTCCTTTGGGCAGCTGCCTCCGTCTCGCTCTGACTCACCCTGAGTCTGGGTCTGTAGCTTCCTGTACTGGAGAGCAGCACGAATGTGGGGAGTACTCACTCTGCAGCTAAATCTGGAGGCCAGAACATCCCCTGAAGTACACTGCATGCTGACTGTAAAAATAAAAGCAAAAACACACAGCTGCTCAACTTGGAGAATCTCAGTCGACTGAGGAGTCTCTGACTGATGATTCAAATCTTTGATTTTCAGGGGGCAGCTCTAGAAATATTGTACTTGTTATACCGCTGCATTAATCTGGCAAATTTAGTAACTAGGTACTAGACTTTTGCACACAAAACATATCAAGAGTTTATAAAATATGATGTTTTGTTAGAGATTAAACTACCCAAAATTTGTAGATCTACGTGGTAGCTTTTCATGTGAAATATTTCATGTTTCCAGCTTTTCAAATGTTAGGATTTTTCTGCATTGAGTACTTTTACTCTACATACATTTCCCTGATCATACTTGTATATTTCAATACAGAAATTTCACTTATAACAGAGTATTTTTACAGTGTGTTATTAGTACTTTTACTTAAGTCAAGAATCTGAATACGTCTTCCACCTGGTTATTTGGGAGGGGAGCAAAATTAGGTGTTTGACCTTAATCATTTTGAATCACTGGAGAATTGACACAGACTACTTTAATGTTGCACTCTGACACTATGATTAGCTGATAAAATTGGGGCAATATATCCTCAGGAGGAAACTGGGCCATTGCAGCAGCACATATTGGCGAGATACATCAAAGAAAAAAGACAGATAAGAGAGTAATGGAGGTTGATTAACCATACAAATGCAATTTATATTGTATTCAAAGGCAGGAAAAAATATAGGCTGATGTCTGTGCAGAAAATGAAATCACCTAACTGCACATATTGAGCTCCTGAGGGTGGTGGGTGGTTGGAGTTTATGATTGTGCAATTGTTGTGTGACTTCTGCACAAAATCCAAGCATCAGTACATTTTAGACATGTTGTAGATCCAGTTCAGGCAATCCAGCAAATTAATTTGTATTCACCCACATTTCAGTCAGACACCTGCCCAGCCTAGGAAGCCAGCATGCTGTTGAGTGCTGAATATTGGTGCTTTTCAACAGATGTTTCTTTATGCAAATGACAAAAGACCTGGTGACAAAACATAATTTGTGCATGACATTAAGCTCGTCCAAGGCATCAGTCTGCACACTGAAATCAACTTTATGTCTCCATCAATATTTGGCTCTCCCTTTTGTCCTATATCTTCCCTTCAGTGTTGTCCTCTCATCGCAGTCAGTGTGTGATGTTAAACCAGCTGGCAAACACAAACACACACACACACACACAGAGAAAGAGCTTACTTAATGCCATCTGGTGCAACATCAAAGCATAGATCCTTGCTGCAGGGTCAAGGTTGAAACAGTTCAATATTTTTTGAAAATAAATGAAATATATGGCCTTGTTCACCTATTAGTTTAGCAGCCCATGAGATTACTGACAAAAAAGTTTTCATCAGGAGGCTTGCCTCAAAAGCAAAAGCAGACATCACATTCATGCTCAAGGTTTCCAGAAGTTTTTAGAGACGTGCCTTGCAGCAGTTAAAGATAAGTTCCCTCTCGTGGACAGGTAGTAACTCATACTGACTGTGATGAGGCTGACCGCTGCTCTAATAGTTCATATGTATTCAAGATCAGAGTTATGCACATGTTCGCTCTGTGTGACCTATATCGACTCATTTTTGAAGCCTGACATCACGTGGTGTTTTGACAGCATGAGCTGAATAGAAATGAGTGCTATAGCCCTTTTTTCCTGATGGCAAGTGTAATTAATATTGTCAGTCTCTCTGGAATTTCAGTTTTCATTTAATGTCATTAAATATTAAAACTGAGTGAGTGCAGTTTATTATGCTGGAGGGCCTGCCCATGGGCCACAGTACAGAATTGGGGACAGTTTGAATTTAGTCTGTTTCAGCCTGTATCCCTAGTTTATGAAACTTTCTACATGTTACCTGAGACTTAAATTGGTGTCAGTACTGTGCAGTTAATGCTTAAGACAAAGTTCCTGGCACACAGTTGAGCTGGAGAGCCTTACTGACGGCAGCACAGATCCGAAATGTAAGGTCTTTACGTAAGGCACTGCAGATCAAAGAATTTTGACTTCAGTGACATATTGCTGCTATTTATATGAAAATCTTGACAGTGCTGTTGGCTCAAGGACTGCTTCTTTGCCTGGGAGCCAGCAGTGGGTCACAGATAATTGACAGTCCAGACTGTTTATGATCGGGCGCCATGGTAACGGTGGGAAAATTGTCCTGGAGTGGACCACAAAGGTCTTGACCCAGAGGTTACTCATCCTTTCAGGTTTGTGTGTGGGTTTTTTGTGTGTGTATGTGTGTGTGTGTGTGTGTGTGTGTATTTTGTGCGTGCATGTGAGCGTGTGTGTGTGAAATCTATTTGCAAAGCAGGCCGCAGCCACAGGGAGGATGAAAAATGGACTGAGATGTGTTGTTTGCAAAAAGAAATTGCACATGATGATGATATTTTTCCTGAGAGGAAGAGAGGGAGGGAATGCGAGAATGAGAGAGAGCACGCCAGTGTGAGGACTGCAGATGTGCGAGTGTGTGAGTGTGTATATGCGTTGTCAAGCAGTTTGCCTTGGGATTCAGACTAAGTCAATTGAAGATAATTTCACCGCAGCTCATTTCCAAGCATTTGTCTTTTCACCGGCAGCCACACCAGACACTAGAGCACCTGCTGCTACAAAGTTTCTCTCCGACTCATCTTACTCTCACCGCCTATCTATGTGTGTCTGTGTGTATGCGTGCCTACCATCTCAAGTCACTCCTCACCCCTGACCTGCAGGCTGTCAGGCAGGAAAGTGACACCATGTCCTCAGAAGTCAGCTTCTCTGATTTACATGCCTGTCTCTCTTCATCCCTCCACAACTCTCGTGCTCTCTTTCTCTCTCAGTCTTACTGGATACCACTCTCCTCTCGTCGCCGGCGTCTGTCACCGTTACCTGTGTTTGTTGTCGCACTTTTCCACTCACTGCCCCCTTTTCCATCTCTGTCATGTTGTTTTTGATTTTCTGTGTCTTTCTCCCACCCCTCCCTCTGCCTCTATATTTAATCTTAGTCTCTCGCCCACATCACACCTCTGGCTGTGCAAAATGAGCGGGGAGGAGAAGGGGTGTTGGAGGGGGGATGAAGGGGAGGCGACAAAAGAGGAGAACAGGGGGAGACAGCAGCAAGGGGAGGTGCAGGAAGGTGGTGGAGGGATAAAGGGGAGAGAACGGATGAAGGGGAAGGATCACGGACAAGATGAAAGTGATACGTGTGTGTGCGTGTGTGTACGTGTGTGTGTGTGTGTGTTTGAGGGAGAGATGCAAAGGCCCATTTTCCTAACTTGGAATCTCCATAGAGTTGGTTTGATAGAGTTGGTTAAAGAATAAAGAAAGAAGCGTGGCAGAAAGAGATGCGTGAAGAGACAGAGTTTAAAAGGGAGAAGGATCTGGGAAGCTGCACACACGGCTTGCGAGTAATCAATACGCACTGCAAGTGTGCTTGAGCATCTGTTACCAAACACAAAAACAAACACACATACACGCAGTGTTTAAACACTACAGGGAGTTTCTTGACAGGGCGCAGCATTTTATGAAATCTGTTTATACATGCAATGAGTTTAATTTACCAGTTGGTGGATTTGGGCTGTTCAAGAATGTGTGTGTGTGTGTGTGTGTGTGTGTGTGTACATGTACATGTGTGTGCGCGTGTGTGAGTGA